GAGTGTGATGAAGTCTGCAGCAGACGTGAAACGAGTCTAGGCTCGTGCTGGCTCGAAAACTGTATAAAGCAGGTATCCTTGGCGTCAGAGCATAGAGTTTCCGATCAGTTTTCGTGTGGAACATTATGCAATTGCCTGTTGGCAGAGATAAACCTAAGATTGAATTATCGTAACGAGACTATCACAGTTCTAAGCGACAGCTAGGCGACTCTTTAGACATTGCACATCTTTGTCAGGTTAAGTGCTTAGCAGAGGGTCTAATGAACCTTCGGAGATGGACACCAAAGCATAGGGTAGTATAGATTCATGGTCTGCATGTGCATAATAAATATAATTTAGTAAATGCAATAAACTGCAGTTCAAATTTTCTGAACAACTACCATGGACCTAAGAGCTGTAGACTATAGAAATACATAGCTACCACGACGTAAAGGTACATACATATATACTACTTATTATTTACGAGTATCTGCACATCTCTTCTGCACATATTTCCGAAAAAGTGCAGTAATCTAAGTACAAAACTATGCATACTATTCCACTGTACTTGTATGGTTCACTTAAAAAGTTCAGCAAACATTTGCGGTAATTTGATCATTTGATGCGCTGCCAAGTTCTATTCTCGTAATTTCAGGTATTTGTTGATGATTTGTTTACAAAATTTCAATGAAATGCAGGTATGCACGCAAGGAAGATGCCAACAACTCATAAAAATACAAGAGCAGTACATATTTATTTATGTACATATATATGGTGTCTTTATAAAGTTTAATGAACCAACATGTTCACTTGTTCCTGTGTCCCATGTGTCGACGCGCTAAATTTTTTAAATTTTGAAAGTAAAATTTTATGTCTTCACCAAATTAATTGACCGCAGCCATCAAGTGACACATTGTCAAATCACATCAAATGAAATTGGTGGTGGACCACAGAAGGTTGTTAAATGTAGGTATGTGTGTACATTAGGGTGTTGCAAAAAATGCATGTGAAAAAGTAAATTTTTATGCGCTCAACCCCTAGGATTGTTCTATACCGAAAAAATATACCCATATTTTTTTTTGTTTTGAAATAAAAAAATATTTATATGTCGTACATACATTAAACCGTATCACGATGTATGGGGCGAAAAAACGTTGAATTTATTTCAAGGCATTTTGAACACTCACTAATATTGCAAAGGTGCAATCATTTTTTTCGGCACCCTGTAAAAACAGCTAAATCGATTTTCTTATATGTAACTTTCACTTTTCGGTTTCAGACAGATGAACATAGCTTGCAGATTTACATATATATTAAAGTATTCGATTATTCGTCTTTTTTCAAAACTGTTTTCGAGCGTTTCGAAAAATTTAAATTTGAAAAACACCGGTGCCCGATTTTGGAATCAAGAAAAGCCCGGATAACTTGGTTTTTTATACGTAGAGTCAAAAACAAAATTACAATAAAACTATTAACTTTTATTAGATCTCTTCGATCCTTCGGATCCTGATATTCGAAAAATCAAGATTTCAAAAAAACCGAACAAAAATTCCTACACTCCTGTTATAGTGAAGTTGAACTTTTTTTTGTGATACGGCCTAATGTATATATGTATGTACATGTTGCTATGCTATACACTCTATGCTATTTGATATCTTAATTTAATCAAATTTAGGCGCCTGCTTACTCAACTGACAGAATAGAAATCTTGTTTCTACATTTCAATTAAAATTTATAAATGAAAATACTTTAACAGCCAATTTCACGAAAAGAATTTAAGTGGGAAATGATTTAAATTTTTTGAATTTTGTATGGAAATCGACAGAAAATGAAAAAATCCTTTTCCATTTAAATTGCTATGTAAGTATGTACATATGTAGGTACAATAACATACATACATACATTCTACAACACGTGGGCCTTTGCACCGGCAATCACTTCATTAAACGCGAATTAGTGAGGTCAATTGGGAGCAGTGGGAGTATGAAGGCTCAAATTTAAATTGTGAAGAAGAATACATACATACATAATATGTACATACGTTTGTAAATATCCACCTACATGCATATAACTTATATAAAATTCATATTGACTTCCACACCACTGCTGACTTTTACTTGCGCTTCTTCGATTGGCAATAAATTTGCCAATAATTATGTTCAGGGATCAATATGTACATACACACATATATAAATATCCTCTAAATATATTCTATGTATACGAGCATGCGTAGATATGTATGTATGTATGTTTATAACTTATCCGCACATTTCTTGTACTTCTATCGCCCTTTATGACCTGTTTCTAGCACATTGGCCAATTTTTCATTGGCTTCTACATAGGTATGTATGCTGCTAACGATCACTCGCCAATAACACAATTTTTCAGAATATTTATGCATTTCAACCTGAAGCCATCTTCATCTCGTTATTTATATTCCCTGTATGTATGTACTTGTGTATGTAAGGCTACCTACTAGGCATGTTACGTATGCCATATATTTCGCAATGCGAATGTTTAAAAAAGCTATAATCAACTGAAGTCATAGTTTTTATCAGGGCTTCGGAGCAAATGTTATCTTTTTCATCGCTCCGCACTAGCTCCGCTCCGGTATTTTATTTCGCTCCGAGCTCCGCTGTTGCTCCACTCCCGCTCCCAATAAAAAACTTTTTTATTTATTTATTGACTTATCGAGCCTTAACCACTAAAAAACGTAGGCGACATTTTTTTTTTTAATTTTCTTTTTGATGCAGAAATGCATCTATGTGTGTATACACTTCTGCACCCCAAATAAAACTAAAAAAAAAATTCCAAGTTAATTAAACTGAATGGAAATTTATTTAACACCGTTGTTTTCAGTGCCAAAAAATAATAATTTAAGTAAATTTATTAAGTGAAAATTTTTTTAATTTCAATTGAACTTGAGGCCGTTAAATATTATTGAAAAATTTTCGGAAAACAACAATCAAAATACATATTTGAAAATAAATCATTACAGATTTCGGGACCCGCGGTACAACTCTGAAAAATGTCGGGATGGGCGGGCTCGGGACTTAAAATTTTAGTCTCGTGATGGGCGGGATCGGGATTGAATATTTAATCCCGTGCCCATCTCTACTTCCAACCAAACATTAGTTACATATGTGTGTACATACATTAGGTTGGTCCAAAAATGCATGTGAAAAAGTAAAGCCGGAATTTGCATGCTCTCACCCCCTAGGACTGCTCTTTGCCGAAAAAATATACCTTTCTTTGAAATCAAAATATATTTAGAGGTCGCTCAAAGCGCTCAAGTTTTATATGGCAAAAAACACTTTTCGTAGAAATGGTATAAAATTCTTGAAAATCAATCAGCCTTATCATGAGTTTCATTTTACCCGAACCGGTTCACTTTTCATATTTGGGTTCCACTATGGGCGGAATACAAATTTTCGAGTAAATTTTTTTCGGCGAAACTCAGGATAGAGCAGAATATTTTTCGAACGGATAACTCTGTTTATTTTCAGGAGATTCCCCATAATAATACCCAATTATTTATTTAACCGTGTTTTCATAGTAACGATATTTTAAAGGTCCGCCAAAATCTCCAGAAAATGCAATGGGGGATAAATAAAAAATCTTTAGTACTAAGAAATGATTAAATAAACAATTGGGTATTGCTATTGGAAGTCTTCTTAAGTGAACCAGAGTTTTCCGATCGAAAAATATTGATTTTCAAGAATTTTTTACCATTTCTACGAAAAGTGTTTTTTTTTTATATAATTGCATTTTATACTCAAATACCCGGCGTGCTCACAGTGGCTTAAAAGTGTTTTTGTGCTGTTTGATACCCGTATTGTTATATTTCATTTATTTTATCGATTTACTTTAATAAAATTTTTAAACCAGATGGCAACCCTCCTCAAAAATATTTTCGGTAATAAACTTTCCTAAACCACTGCAGTTTGATACCCATATTGCAATATTACATTTATCTTATCAATTAAATTGAATTAAAATTTGATTTCAACTAAAAATTAAAAAAAAAATATATTAAAAATAAATTTTTTGAGTTTCATTTTGTTTTGTGCGTATGTCTGCTTCATGACCCATACGGATTACTAATACTACGTTCAAATTGACGAGTTAAACATGTTAAATGGGCATGAACCAGTTGAATTAGCTGGCCAAATTAATTAGAAATTGCCCCTAGTCCTTTTTTTAGCCCTTTGGAGAATTTATTTATACTTGGCATGAAAAAGTTGTATATGCTTAATTTGATCTCATTTTTTTTTCATTTATGTAAGAGATGAATTTTTAAACTAAGAAAGACTGATATATATACATATATGTATTGTATGTTCCTTACGTTTTTATACATACATGCTGTAAAAATGTTTAGGCTGTTAACTTATCTTAGAGGAAGATTAAGTTCCATATATTGCAGTTGTGAATTCAAAAAAAAAACACGCCATGTTTAACAAAGTGGTAGAAAAATTATGAAATTTCGGCTCTAATCATTTCGATCTTTCCTCGACCTCATTTGTCAAGAAATAAATTTTGTACCATCATGCTGGTACTGGTAAGTTATATGCTTCCAGCCTGATGGTACAGTCACTTGATGAGCCAGCAAGCGGGTGTCGTATATTTCCACTTTTATACAAAAAGGTTTTTGGTTGGATAAAATTTTGGCTTTTTTTTCCAGAGTTCGTTGTTTTTCTGTGTCATTACTTATTGAAAATGGTTGCGTATGTATATCTAAGTAAAAAAATATAGCTACCTTTTTTTTTAGCCTACGACTTGTTTTAGCTCTTTTTTAGCCATTTTTTTAAAGGAATTTGGCTATCACTAAAAAACCTCCCGGCAACACTGGCCATAACCGATTCGGCTAGAGCATTTTCCTACAACAATAACAGCGCCACCTGCAGACAGATTTATGCATTAGTACTTCCGGTAGTGCACTGTCAAACGCCACAACAACAAAACAAAACAAAAAAAAAAACAAAAAAAATCTACCTGTGTCTGGCATTTGCATGACATTCGCATTTTCTAGCTTTTGCCTTCTACACCTTTCTCAAATTTAGTGCTTGGTTTTTCGCAGAATGGCTGCTTTTGGTAGATTTGCAAATCGGGCATTAAATTTAACCAGTTTTCGGCCTGTACAAAGAAATTTTCACAAATTTAATAGTGCTAAAAATGTGCCGAAGAATTACACAAAATATTTGGTTGTTGTGGGTAGCGGTGTGACTGCGTTGATATGTGCCAATTACTTGAAAGCGGAACGTGTGGAGGCGTCCATTCGAATGCGAAAGGTGAGCGAGTTTGTTTAGTTGCAAAAATGTGTGAAATCCCTCTCCACAATGCATAAATAATATAGTACATACGTATTGTAATAAATTGTTGATAAATGATTAGTGCAATTCGATTTTATAAAAAGTTAGGGAAAATTGATGGCACATTCTTGGCACATTCAACCTTATCATGAGTTTTATTTTCGCCCGAAATTGTTCACTTTTCGCTTATGTGTATTCACGACGGACGGATGAAAATTTTTCAGGTGAAACTCGGGATAAAGGTGAATAATTTCACCATGGGGAAAATTCGATAATTTCGGAAAATGCTTTTTGGCGAAGCAGGTTCGGGTGGAATTGAACGGTTATCATTTCTATTTTTGGACAAATTCGTTTTTGGCATTTTTGCACATTGTGGTTCTTCTTTCTTCTTCTAAACCGTCAGCTGTTTTTTGTTTTGTTTAAAAAGAAGACAACAACAAGTTGCGGCAACAAGTTGTGTGTGGGTGGTGGGTGTTGCACTTTTTACTTTGAACTTCATTCGTAATTTAAAGTTGTTTACCTTTGCTGATTTTGCTTTTTGCGATATCATAAATTTTGGCCTTGGCTGCGTTGTGAGTCATGCTTAAATAAGTTTTTTTCGAGGTTGCTGAATTCCAACGATGTATGCATGCGCAATTATGATAGTAGGAGGGGTAAATGTTTGAATAATGTTCGTTGTTAAAATCACGAAATTTTTTAAGCGTATTTGATTATATTTTACTTAAATGCTGTTGCAAAAAAAAAAACTGAGGGTGACTGAAAGATTTTAATAACGTGGATTAGTTACAGCTTAGTTGTAGATACAAAATAACCCTTTCAACTTCATTTAACTTTTATTAAGGTAATTTTTGTTCAGCGGTTTAATTATAGTTAAATTAACCCTCGCTCAACATCCTCAGCGATTTACGTCCAAAAACTCCTGATAGTTTGCTATATGATAGCCAACCCGCCGAAGGAAATGAAGAAGCCGTCAGCTAGCCAGACTAGCTGCTGCCTCGACTCTGATAGGACCTGAGCTCTTAATTAAAATTAATTTAATACAATAAAAAATAAAATTTTCACTAAGTATCAAATCTAGAATTATCAAATTTTTTTTCTTTTCAGTTCGTTTGTATTATATTTTTTAAACTTGGTTCATTTTTTTTTTTAGTAAAAAGCTTTAAGTCAATCAAAGGTACAGTATTTTTTCTTATGAAAGTGTTAAAACCTACATAAAAATTTGCTTGCATATAACTCGTCAAAAAAATAAAATTATCGCAAAATCTTTGGTGTCAATGAAATATAAGAAATCGAAGTCAACTTTGGGTGTCCCAGTTGAGAAAACTTGACTCACTCACGGGTGCTTATGGAATCGGACAGGATGAATTTATAATCGGCGGCCGCCTTGCCCGAGTGGTTAATTTCTGCACTGCCATCCGATAGAACCTAGGTACGATTCATTCCCATGATAGTGGGGTCCACATAACCAGAATGATCAAGATTTGTGTCCCGCTAAATTCCCCAAAACTGTTGGCAGCAATCAAGGTTTAATTCCAAATCTGATTTTCGACTGCTGAGTGGAAGATCGACCTATCTCGGCAGTCAGTTCGAAAACGCCCTATCTCAAAAAACTTTTCACTAACGCCCTATTTCAGAATTTTGTTGAAGAACGCCCTATTTCAGAATTCGATTCAAAAATGCCCTATCACACTTCAAAATGTATTGAAAATTTGCTGATATAGGGCGTTTTTGAAACGAATTCTGAAATAGGGCGTTCTTCAACCAAATTCTGAAATAGGGCGTTTTTGAAAAGTTTTTTGTGTTTTCGTACTGGCTGCCGAGATAGGTCGATCTTCCACTCAGCTGTCGAAAAGCTTTGCTCAACAACTTTACTTAAAAATTATATCTTAAAACCCTCTCAAGGCTGGTCTGCTTACCTCACTTTCCTTTTTTCACAAGCTTTTTTTTTTTTGTAAATATGTACGGCTAAATGTATGTATGTATGTATGCGTGTACAAGTGATTTATAAAGGAAAAAGATTTATTTACTGTCATTTATTTGAATAAATTATTCTTTAAAGATCAAGTTCACTAATAAATTTATATCTGTTTAGCCGTGAAATCACCTTAGAACATAATGGACAAAGTCAAGTTTACAAATTGTCTACACAGTTTCAATTGTAGTTACCAGAACTTTACCGATTCGTTCCGACCTGCAACAATGCATTGAATATTGAGTCATTTTGAATTCTTGTGTACGCCACCCAGTGTGTAAAATATGACGGCGCTTAATCCACGGCATCCCAATGTCAAAGCTGCCGGCGGACAAACAGGCAAACAATAGCACTCCCGCCAAGATCAGTCATAACAAAACTATATAACCACACAAACAAAAATCATACAAGGGATTACAATAACACCCACATAGCGTTGACAATAGAATTTTTCCCTCAGGGTAGGTACGAGTATGTATGTATGTATGAACGTATTTCTGTAACTGACATTGCAACAATGTCCCAAATGTAGCAGCAAGACTGCAAACAAATGTACTTATGTATGTAGCTCTTATGTGTTTTATGTAGGTATGCATGCAAATGTTTATCATCTATTTATTATCAGACATGCTACTCAAATTTGAATGCAATTAAATTCTGAATGATTTACAATTGAAGACAAAAGGTGGAGTCTAAATTGTTTAGCTGTCCTTCGCACAATGCGTCAATGCAGCTTAACAAATCCTATTGTGGCCAAGACACAGACAGAGCAATTCTTGCCATCGGCGATGATGAATACACGCTGCTCGGGTGAAGTGATTGTCGCGCTTGCCACTGCCAATTGCCACCTATAAAAGAACCAAAATCATAACATAAACTCATTTCATATTAAATATGTATGTATGTATGTACATATGCATACATGTGACTGGCTGTGCAACGCCATGCAAAGGATGATGTCAGACAATTAAAAAGAATTATCACCAGCAAGCTAGAGTAGGTGAGCCGCCACATGAACGAAATTCAGCTCGACATGGTAATGAATGAAATGTTTTTTTTTTAAAGCGCATCGATCTCTCTAATAGTAAAAAATACAATTTAATATTTAAGTATATGAATGAGATATTTATTAAACTCCCTTTTGACTCCCACGGGAGCTTGCAGACATATCATCAGGCAAGTGTGCTGCTATTGAGACCTTTAACCTGCACAAAAGCATGCACCTCAAGGCTCTATTGGTGACATGTTGTTTAGAAGTAAACGCTTGGGTGGTATGCGCATATGTATGTCTTCTTATAGCGCAGTTGAGGAATTGGAATGTCTGTGATACTTTTTTTGATGGTAGACTGTCAGTTTTTTAATTCATATGTATGAATTGTGCCATAAATATTTATGCATGTAGATATGCCTGTGTCTGTAGGTGCGGTAATGCATTCAAAATGTGTTACCGTGAAATGCATACCAGTTTTTGAATGGCTGTTTATGTCAAATTTATTAATATTATAAAAATTTATGAAAATTGTGTCTGCGGTCTTATTACAACCAATAACAATAATGATAATGATGGCAATCATTTTTAAATGAGAAAATATTTCATTTGCATGTGGGAAAATGTTGAATACAAAAGGTTGTCGCTTAGCTTAACCAATAATTAATAAATGAAGTATATGTCTGTATTTTTTAGCATTCATAAAAAGCAAAGTTAAGATTTAAATGTTTCGTTAAACCTGAAAACTTGCAAAAGGCTAAAAAAAATACTCAGAAAACATTGAAAAGCGCGTAATAGCCACGAAAACGTAAGAAATTCTGGAGAGTGACTCGGAGGATTTCGAGAAAAATCGAAAAAAAGCCCCGTTGGGAAGTTTTGGAATTGTTGTAATTTATTGTCGATTAAAAATAACCCTTTTGAAGTCTAATTTCTGTCTAAAGAATTTTAACATTTACCTTTTCATTTCTCTTTTTTTGTTGTCCATGCCAGCTGCACCATGCTACACAATCAGCATCTCAGATAGCAATCTCTTGTATCTTTCATTTATTACAACATCTTCATGCACTTTCTTTTGAATTCAAAAGATAAAATTTATCGCACACTGCCTTGGCCATTCATCAATTCAACACCTTTTCGCAGATATTTTTGTAACCGTTTACAAAATTGATTTAATACTTAAACGTTTGGGCAAAAATTTAAAGTATAAAGTTACCAGAAGAATTACACCAGAACATTAATCAACTGAAAAAAAAAACTGGTTGTCTGCAAATACATAATTGATTGCACTGCTTCATCCAAATGTGTAGAACTTACATTTACTCTTCTTCTTTTTTAACATTTTTATCAACGCTAAGTTTACTTTCTTTACTTCCAGACCGAAGAGGACAACTTGATGAAGAAATTGACGTCACGCGAACGGCGCTTCATCAAATTTTCTTCTGTGGAATATCAAGGGCAATTGTATATGACGCCACAGGATTTCTTGGATAGCGTGGTTGAGCAAGAGCCAAGACGTAAGTAGATTCTTAACTAGAGGCTTTAACAATACTTATAAAAAATACATACGTACATAGCTCGGTATTATGTTTTGCACTATTAATTGTCTTTTTATCTTCTTCTACCAGCTCGTTTGAAACGCCGTGCTTTAAGCGACCAAGATTTGCAGGTGATAAAAGACAATACACCGCCTTTGAAGAAGGGCTCGAAAATGTTGTTCCGTACTCTAAGGGACAGAGGTAATTTTTGAAGTCGGTATTTTTGAACGATATTAATATGTAGTTAAATTTTAAATACTGGCATACTTTTTAGTTAGGTTAACTCATTTCTCACCTAAAACCACAATTGCTTCTTAGTGTCGCCAAGAGTTAGAGCATAAGGGCAAAGATTTTAAATTATACTCTAATAAACAGTTTTTCGAGCCTTAGTAATTTGTTGACCTTTTGATTGGCTATATTCTGCAACGAGGAGTAGAATGCGGAGCTAAGGAAGTTCAATCGCGATCTGCATAATGTTTGGCAGTGACCTTCGATGGTACTCAAGGGTGCGCATGACACATTGTTCCCATCGTATGCTAAACATGTTTCAGGCTGTACTAATTGGCGTGGGATAGTGTGAGACACAGTGCCCAGTGCATGAGACTAAGCTGCAGTCTACGGGCAAATTGGAAAATTATTATAATTTAAAAATAAAATCAAATGGAAGAACTTGAATTCAATTATGCACTGCTTGACGTCACACAAAATTCGTAAAGTAAATGTGACAACAAATGAGATATTAATGAGAAATCCTCTTTTAGAAACTAGTACTATAGTCTTTAATTACAAAGTCATTGTCTTCACACGCGTTTGTTTTAAATTGAGTTTGATGCTATCTATTTGCATTGTTTAACGCCAGGTATATACATATATTCCTTTCTTTGTCATTTAAGGCATTATCTCCTACACAGAATATCTCTTTCTCTTATCTGTTTTAACAAGTAAGTAAAAAAATATTATTTACAGTTTTTAACAATGATTTTAACATGTTTTTTGTTTTTGTACTCTTAAAGAACCTATTTCCGGTTTCCGCATTGCATTTAACATGTTCGATACAGATGCCAATCATCGCGTTGAAAAGGACGAATTTCTAGTGGTGAGTAAGTTCAAAACGTTCACAGTGATAGATAATTGATTCATGTAGAGGTCAGAGCTTCCGCCTTTTAAATGTACAAACGTACAAATATCATCAAGGAAAATTTGCAAAACAGATTGTTTAGCTTAGAATAAGCTTGAATGAGGTATGAGGCAAGGTATCGTAAGATTGGCCTCATCGCATCGGACAGTCAAAGCTGCTATCAATATAAATTTCTTTCAGCGATATACTGAACCCAAAGAGCTTTTTAGCGGTATTACACTGAAGGTCAGCTTTGAATTTGCCTCGCTTTTTGTGGCTATTTCTACTTGAAAATAGTTCGACAGATAAATTTTGCGGCAGGTGGAGAGTATAAATCATATCAGTACATTCCGCGATGAAATGTGTGTTAAGAGGTTCCCGTAACTCAATGCTGTTCAACAGTTACATATCTTCGGTGGTAGTGCAAAATGGTTTTTTAAATGTTTCCATTTTTTTTTTTTGTTGCATAATGCATAGCCTGTAATTTGCATCATTATTTACGACTATTTTTTTTTTTGAATTACAAGTATTTTTTATAAATGTTATTTTTTATTAGTTCTTATATATACGTTAAATACTTTTGATTTGATATTTATATTTTATTTCATTTAGATTTTAAGAATTTTGGGTGGCACCTTCAAGCGGTCGAAAGTCGATGAGGAGACACGTAAACTTGTAAGCATTTCATATTCATCTTCGAACTTTAAAAAATTAATTAATTATAAAAATATCAGTATATAGTATTCAAAAAAAAAATTTAATTCAAATCCAAAACTTATCAATATTGTATGTAATTCGTAATTTTTTAAATTTCTGATAGCCAGCAGTGGAAGTGCTGAGAGCCTCCGAAAATAGGTTACTTTAATTTGCTTATGTATAAATTGTATAGCAGCATATCGTCGTTTAAAGTACAAAACCGCGTATCAGCAAAATGCAAAACCGCGTATGTGAGGTTGTATAAATTATTTTCAAGAGATTAAAAATACTCATATTTCAAAATGGTTTTTTTTTTTTTATAAAGCAATCGCATTTCTGTCTAGTATATTTCAGGACGAATGGATAAGGATTGAGCCAAGAGCTTGGTTAAGCAAATTTGCAATTTTTGGCAGCAAATGTCAGTTGCGTGGTTTTGTACTTTAAACGACGATAGAATTATGTAAAATTTATTTTTAATATTTTTGCCACTCACTAATAACTTTATTTCGAATTAGTTGTTAAGTTTAATTTGGCCTAGAGAAACAGCTGAGTCACTTTTTATGAAAACTAAAAAAGGAACCAATGAAAAGGAGCATGTAAATGTAAGTCGGGGGAAGTGTTTAATTTTGCTCCCTTTTTATGTTTCGTTTTGTTAATTCTCATATTTTACATACTATAATTCGTTGTTTAGTTGAAACTGATCTTATCTTATCTTTTCGCCTACACTACGAAAAAAGAGAAAAAATGGAAAATTAGTATTCAGTTTTTAAATGCCAGAAATGTTTATCCGCAACCTTGAACTTTTATACTGTATGGTTCTGCTTAGCCCTAAACTTTCAAAAAATAAACTTTGCTTCCTTAGACTATTTTAATGTAAGTAAATACAATATTCATGAAAATACACAGTGCCGCCTTCGCTTTTTACGAGTTTTGTTGTTTCGTTTTTACTTTGACTTTTTTAATTTTATTTATAATACTTTATACTATGTATGTATAGATGTATTATTTTTTGTAAGTAACCAAATTTATGTTATTTATTTTATGTTATTCATACATACTTTCCGGTTTTTTTTACTTACATGATAACCTTTTTACTGTTCTTCAAGTTGTTCTGTTAAATTTTATTAATCGCATGAAATTTGCTTATCTATATGTCGTCACTAACTTACACGCTTGCAATAGATGGAGCGCATTTTTAGTGGAGTTTGGAAGGGTAAACGACGCGTACAGGACGATGGAGAAAAGAAACAACTAAAAGAAGAAGCAGAGAAACTAGCGCAGGTACAGTATGTTTCTTCCATACATATGTATGCACAGCCTACAGACTTTAATTAGAACAACTTATTCGGGGGCGTTTAGTTCAAAACATCTTTCAAAAATCGTTTTTGAGGCAAAGATAGTGCTATAACTTCTTTAAAAGCGCTTTATAACTTACGTAAAGATCAGATAGGACCGAATCTCTCGCCACAAAAACAATAATGAAAACGCTTTACACGAAATAATATACCTTCTTGCAAATCTTTTACATTTTGAGACCGAACGAATTTTATACTTTGGACCCCAAAGTGGCGTCCAAAAAAAATATTCCAAAAATTCTGAAAATTCTAGATTCCCGTAAAATGAAACACGAAGATTAAGAAAATGATTTATTTTGGAACGAATTTCCGTCATCCCGTTTGCAGACAAACCAAGCTTGAAAAGGGATGTCGGAAATTCGTTCCAAAATAAATCATCTTACCACCCTGTTGGAAAAATCAACAAACACCAACACAGGAATAAGAAAGGTTTAAAGAAAATACCAAGAAATCCCCAAATAAATCTAAATGGTACGAAAAAAATTACGAGAATGTTAAAAGCCAAAGGCTCCCGGAAAAGCGCCGAGAAAAATCCTAAAACTCCCTAAGCATAAAACACGAATTAGCCAGAAAAATTCTAAAATTTCTCAACGGTCGAGGATCTCGAAAAGTAAAACACGAAGAAACTTAAAAGGTGCGAAAACCGCAACAATAAATTTAAAGATTCTGAACGGTGAATAGAAATCCTAGAAAGAACCACAAAAACTCCTGAAAAGTAAAACACGAAGAATCCCAAAAAACCCAAAAACCAAAACAAAAAATTTAAAGATTCTGAATTTCGGTAAATTTAACACGAGGAACCCGAATGCTAAAAAAATTCCTGAACAATTTCCAAAAGTAAAACACGAGGAATCCTGAAGAGGCCTAAATCCAAAACAAAAAATTTACAGGTTCTGAACGGCGATAAGAAAATCTAGAAAAAATCCAAAACCTCCTAAAAAGTAAGGCCCCAAAAAGTCCTAAACGTTCTTGAAAAAAATTACAAAAAATTTAACACTAGGCAACCAAAAAATTCTTAAAAGTCTCAAAAAATCCTTAACGGTCCCGAGTAGATCTAGAATAGTAAAACACGAAGAACTCTGAAAACTCCAAAAACCAAAACAATAACATTAGAGATTCTGAACGGCGAAGAGAAGATCTAAAAAATAGCCGAAGAAACCCTTAAAAATTAAAGCACCAAGAATACCGTAAAAATCCTATTACGGTGTTCGCATTAGGCGATTTTACAGGCAACTTTTAGTTGAAAGCAAAAACCGCTTGGTGTGAACAGCCTTTCAACTAATCTCTTCCAATGAAGTTGGGGTGCAGCCAACTTTTGATTCAACTAATCACCTCTAAAACTGCCTGAAAAATCGCCAAATGCGAACACCGTATAAACGTGCCCCAAAAAAATCGAAAAATGAAGCACGGAAGTCGCGAAAACAATCGTGAACTGTCCCGAGAAACTTTCGAAGTTCACGAGAAATTCCGAAAACTTAAAAACGATTTATTTAGCATAAAAATTTCAAAAAAAAATTAATAGTTCGAAAACCTTGCAAAGTCTACGAAAAAATTTCAAAAACTCGCCAAAAATAATCGAGAGGTGTACATATGTTTAAGATATTAAACTAAGAGCAAATTTCGGTTAAAAAATGTGAGGCAAAAACTTTGCAAGGCAAAGGCAAGGCTTTGCTATTTCTTAATGAAAACACAGTACGACAATTTGTTCACTACTTTATGTCTTTTCGATTTCATGATCTAAAAATAATTTGTATTCAGTCTTGGCAAGAAAAAAAATGTCATATGCAGTGGTGACCAAATAATTAGGAAAACATCTTCTTAACAAGTTTTGGTCATTTAATATTTTTTTTATTTATTTGGGCAATTCACAAGGTGTCGTATTTGTCGTGTTTGTCGTGAAGTCATGATATTTCATGACAGTTGTAAAAATGTTGTTATTGTTTTGTGAAGAAAAATAACACATGACGATACAACTCTGCAACCTATGTTTATTCGGTGTTATGTGAGGTTAAGTGCTGAGATATAATAAATAATCGTAACAGGTGTTCACAACCGTCGTATTTTAACACAACTTTTGTTAGGAAAATATAACTTCACAACACCTTGTGAATTGCCCAATTGTTTTACAAAAATATAATTTATACCACAACGAAACCCATCTATATCAAAGTTTCAAACCTTGTAAAAAAGATTTATAAAAATAAGGAAGAAATAAAAGCGCAAAACGCGTAAAGTAGTGTTGTTGTTGTTGTTGTAGCGTCGCTCACTTCACTTTTCCGAAAAAACCGGTATGTATTTTATGAGTCTCATGTTAACCACGAAACTGCTTAAATGCATATAACGGTAAAGCATGGTATCAAGGCTTAAAAAAAAAAATTAAGACTAACCACCAACCAAAAGAACATAAATCAAAATGGGACTTAACTATTGCATGATTATTTATATATGTACGTGCATACCTCAACTGTTAAAGTTCTACTCACTCTCTTGGCTACTCACTCCTTAGCTCAGCAAACTCACTACGTATTCATTTACATATTTCCACAGGACGACTTCATCGATGACGACGAAGGGCTGCAGCGCAAGCATCGCATCGATACGACACTACAAATACATTTATTCGGCAAGAAAGGCAATCAGGATCTCAACTACGATGGCTTCCACAAGTTCATGGATAATTTGCAAACAGAAGTGCTGGAATTGGAGTTCAGCGAATTCTCAAAGGGTAATGTCGCCATCACCGAAAATGATTTTGCCAAAATTTTGCTGCGTTACACCTACCTCAATACGGAAGAGTACGATGCCTATTTGGAGCGTCTAATGGATCGCATTAAGGTGCAGCGTGGCATAACATTCGAAGAGTTTCGTGACTTTTGTCGTTTCCTCAACAATCTGGAAGATTTTGCAATCGCTATGCGCATGTATACGCTGGCTGATCGTGCTATCTCGCAGAGTATGTTAATAACGGTTAAATTCATTTTTTTTTATAAACATAAAAAGTATCTCTTCCTTTCAGGTGAATTCTCGCGCGCTGTAAAAATTTGCACTGGTTTCAAGCTTAGCAAACATCTGATCGATACAGTTTTCGCAATTTTCGATGACAATGGTGACGGTATGCTGTCGTACAGAGAATTTATAGCGATCATGAAGGATCGTGTACATCGTGGCTTTAAAGTAAGTCATCACAAAGTGCTTGAATACAATGTTGCTAACGATGAATTAGTCGAAGCGGCGAATCCTATGTTTGCATTGTGGCGCCAACGCGCCTGTCGCCACTTAGATCACTTCAAAGACTGCGATTTTTTCAATAATTTTTGAAGGCAAAAAATATTTTTTTTGCTTTGATTTTTATTTTGAATTAAGTCAACGAAGCAATTCAATGGAGATCAATATGATTTATGTAGTTTATAAATAAGTTTAGTTTTTCATAATGACTTTATGCTCGAACCATCCGCCATCGAATACTTGTGCACGACAATTTCAGTACAAATTATCTTTATTTTGCTCGCTTTTTTAATTTATATTAACTTTGTTATTTTAATATATATTTTTTTTTTAATATTTTGTCCACATGTTTGTTCTAATTGCGTTGTTCAACCATTAACATCTTTGTAATTTCAAAACTTAAAATGCTCTCAATTCGTGAAATCAGCAATAATTAACGGTTTAAGTGCACTTTCATAATTACTATTTATACACATTTTTAATCATCATTTATAGCATTGCATTATTCTAACAAATTTGCTAAGTTTAATATATTCAATTTCATTTAATTGTTCAAAAATATCGTTATAAATAATATACTCGTAAATAAACTTGAATTTTTTGCTGATTTCACAGGCATTTAATAAATTTGTTAGCGGCTAATAGCATTCCACGTTTTTTATATTCATTATGTTTCCTGTTTATTCTGTTCATTATTAATTAATACAAATAAAACCACATTTACTAGCAAAATTTTTATATATCGTTTTATTAGCTTTCTTTGCTTTAAGTTTCACACTCCACTTTTTTCACGATTTTTTCTTCAATTGTTTTTCTTCTTCATGTTTTTTCACTATTTCACTAAGGAAGGAGCGTTTTCACATTGGAGATTTAACTCACATTCAGCAGTTAACTGCCACCTTTTGCACCCAGATTCGATAATTAATATCCGAATGTGAATTAAATTTTCACTATGTGAACGGTCCTAATGTTTTTCACACCGTGCTGGGCATTTATTATCATTTTATAGTACCATTTAAAATTAACTACGTTTGTTGGCAAGCAAACCTTACCACCACCCATAGCTCATTTAATTTTAGTATACTAAAGTGCAAGTTTGAAGTAGCTCAAAGTTCTGTTAGCAGACGAAGAGCTTTAACTGTCGCTAGAGACCCATTCGAAACCCAGGCCCAATTAAGGGCTGAATACTGCAGTCGACTGTACTCGTATTTGTTCAGACTCGACCTCGACATACCAAACATCCGTCCGGCTTGTGAAGTCCCCTCAAACGACACCAACCACCTCTGTACCTGCCCACTTAAACCGATTCAGCTATACCCCCTTTCACTTTGGTCCGAACCAAAACGGCGTGCTTTCTTGGCCACCCCGGCAGGCCGTCGTCGAGTTTGACGAAAACGATTGATGCATTAAGGCCCGTCCACATAGAACTTTGGCGTTGCGTTGGCGTTGGCGTCGCTTCAACAGCTGACTATGAATACATGAATTCAAATGCAGCCGTCCACATAGCAAAAATTCGACAACGCTCACGCCAACACAAAGCAAAAAGATGGCCAACTCTCAACTTTTCGCGTGCGTCGCTCGTCAGCTGTTGCAAATAAATAAAATGATGTGAAATATTTTTCCTTTTTAATCAAGTGCGGGCAAGAAATATCGTTTTTAATGCAATTACTGATATGAAATATTAATTATATGTCGTTAGTATGTTAATTTAGTGGCCCAAGGATTCGCTGCCAAGCGTTCATTGTAGCAAGCATACTTTTAACGTGCGTTCTGTCAAACCAATGCTAACGCCAAAGCCAACGCGAAAGTTCTATGTGGACCGGCCTTTAGCCTACTTTGGCAGGCTTTAGTACTGCCGCTTCAACAGCAGGAGCTTTTTGGGGAAAGAAAGTTCGTAACCAGAGATAAATTTTGTAGTGTGGTAGGGCCGACGGCCGTGCATAACTCACGCTTTTCGAGAAGTCGGGGCAAAACACCTTGGCTCATCATGGCCTAGGTATGGTCATATGATCTCGCATCGTAGTTATCCGAAATATCTTTATGGCCTGCTATCCAAACTGCCTTCGATATGCATTTATTTGTCAATTGTAATGCGCTTGACTACTTTGCAGAGCTTTTTAGAAAAATCGAATAGCCACTTAGCAATCCAAAAATATAATTAAAGCCTGTAAAACCAGAGCTGAGCTGACCGGTTACCGGTCTGTTAGTTCAGATTGAAATATGCTTAATGTGCAGGCAATCGTAAGGTGAGGTTTTAGAGGCAAATCTTGTGAGCATACGCCTTCCCCAGCAATTTAGTTTTATTTTTACCCGTCGGATTACACTTCTGCAGGACTGAAACTTCTTTCATTCACCCGGTTTCCGTAGGTTTGTTTGGTGTCGGGATACCGATTAGTTAGCATACATACATACATGCCACACCTTCATCTCGAAACTATGACGCCGTAGAACCTAATATACCGAACCACTGCTGTGAAAATTTTATTGAACTATCCGTGATATTAAGCCCCATTTTTTTATAAATAGTAGCCTTATGAGGTAGTAAAGGGTTGCCTGATTCTCTTGTCAACAGTCCGTTTCTGGCTAAATTTCCTATTCAAAATGATTCCCAATATCTAAATTCGTCCGCCAGAGTCAATTTCAGTAACAGTTTTTGTTAGTTCGACGTTGACTCCGCACTCCTCTGACCATGGACTAGTTTCCCATGATATGTAAGGCCTTTTTCGTCTAACGAGCTCGGTGAGACTTTCCAAAGCCGTTGTTTAAGTGAAGGGCTATCGCCCTATTCATCTCAATAACGTAGCGCCAGAAAATATGCCACAAGAATTCACTTAATAGCCGACTCACGGAGTCAGACGCACGGTGTATGGCGCCTATAAGAAATGCACAGAAAAATCAAATAAAAATCAGTTTGAAAAATTTGTAAGTATAGAAAAATGTTTTTGGCATATTTTTATGCGCAGTAGTTATAACAGTGATAAAATCGGCTCGGTGATGCGTAGAAATGGAGCTATTACATTAAATATCGTCGAGGTTTGACTTTACAATTTTCTATTGAAAACCGGCCGTTAATTCTTCTTGATCCAATGATCGGAACCAAACCGAATTAGTATGGTACCACTCTTGAGGTACACACTTCCGATAAAAAAGGAATTATCGAAAACGTTTCCCGTGGTCTAAAGTTATCTGGTAACATACATAAAAAAATATAGTTAACCTCCCTCCTTTTTCGTAGTCGGAAAGAAAATTGGCAAGTATTTCAATTGTTTGTTAATATTCTTGATATTTTTATCTTCTTGTGGACTGAAAACATTTTAAATAGTCCAAAGCTGTATCAATATGTATTTATGAATGCAGACGTTTCACCTTGAATAGAAAACCAAAGTTGGTTAACCTCAAATACCTACGATAATATTGTTTTGCTCCATTTTTTCTATTTTTATTCTTAGTACACATAATTTTTTTTTAATTTTGCATGATGATCAACTATTGTTGAATAATCGGTACAAATGATTTTCTGAACTGTGCGGTATGAAGAATTGCCGCCACCAACAAAACCAGAGCGGTCAACGTATTTTCTAACTTAGCGGATCATTTGCTTCTCAGCCAGTCTACGACCAAGCGATAGTATTTATAGAAGTTGGTTAAACCTCAAAATTTCCATTATATCTCAAATTCTTTTTACAGAGGGTTACAATTTTAAATTTTAGGCAGGGACCGAAAATAACCGTTAAATATCAAGATTTTTTTTAATTCATTGCAAAATCGTTTTTTTTTGCATTAACGATCAAAAATAATCGTTATTTTGAATTTTATTTTTCCACTCATTCTAACCGTTTAATGTGGGCTGCCTGTTTATGACCGATGTATATTAGGTGCGTTCGTTTAAAATCTCCAACAGAAACCAACCAACTGCCAAATTCCGGCGAAATGTCATCTGTTCGCTCACAAGAGAGAAATATCCAAAATAGTACGCGAACAGAAAATTTGCAGAAACTTGCAAGTTAGACGAACAGCTGATATAATTTTTGTTTACATTCAAAAGTGTAAAATTTAAAACGTATGAAAACTCATTACAAAGTGGTATCCTGGCACAGTTTATTGATTAAACAAATAACTACTTACTTCTTACAAGTTTAATTAGTCGCATTTTGTAATTTTTAACTTCCAAACCATCAAATTCAATTTCGTGATTTGCGTAAATGCCAACCAGCTGTTTTTGATCAGCTGTTTTCCTCTTGGCAAATTGCTGTTGGCAAAAATTTTTCCAGCAGAAACCAGCAGCTTCCCCTCAAAATGAAATGACACTTTGCTCTCTCAATTTCCCCTACTTTGCAAGTTTTTTGCGTACGCGAACGCAAAAACTTGTAAGTTTTGGTTAAACATGAACAATTAACAGCTACGCGAACGAACCTATTGTTTATGATGTAAAAAATGGTGGTTCTATATGAAATCAAAAATTTCTTAAAAAAATAAAAATCATAAAAAACGATTAAATTTGATCGGAAAAATAGTAATCCAATTTTAGCGGTTAGATTACGTTTTTTTTTTTTTTTAATGCAAAGGAGGGTTCGTGCTTTTCCATAGGTTAAAAATTATATTTTTCTAGAAGAAATTTGTTGTGTTTACTTCTTCTCTTTGATCTGCAGATTTTCATTACGCCCGGGGCGTAAATGGAACGAGGCGCGCTTTGATGATAATTTTTGCACCTCGGTTTCTTTTTCTTATAGGATATATCAATGTATTGTCAAAATAGTCGAAATTTAAGAATATTTAATTTTTGTTATAATCAAAATTTTCAAGTATCAATTACAAAATGTTTACTTTGCGTGCTTTAGCTTGAACAAATTTGTCGATGTTTTGGACAAGTGAATCTGAGTGGCAATCTCGTTTTCGTTAGATAAAATATATAAAGCGTTCAATTTTTCTTGGGCCATCGTTATCTTAAGTACGTCTGGATGAGCTTCAATTTCGAAAAACTTTGCTCCCCGCTAGCAACAGTCACTGGCAAAGTCCACAAAATCCTGAATGAAATCCAAACATTAGACCATCAGTACGGATCGCGATATTTGGATCGTCATCCATATTGATGGATTTCAAAATATTTATTTATTTATTAATGCTACACGGTACGATCCAGGATCGCGATCCGTTTTGATGGTGTGACAGGCGCCTAAGGAAAGACATCGATGACATTTTTATTGACGATAAATTGAAGAACCTCCAATGGCCGTTGATGGGTGTATGTTTAATACGCCGTAATTGTTTCAACTCTTCATAAGGCTCCAATCCATTTATGTCCGATATAATGGTATTGCAGCGAGTTAAAATTTTTTTAAATTTAAATTCATTTTTTATCAGAAGCAATTCGTTGTTGATTTAATTTTGAATTAAAATCTGGTAATGGACTGGACATATCGGATGTGACAGATTTTTCCCCCATACAATATTTTTACTAGTAAAACATAGTAAATTTAATTTTTTATTTAATTTTTTTCAGTTCTTCTCTCCACCGTTTCGCGCTTTCAAAACCTTTTTTCGTCATCTGAATACGAAATTTAAAGTTATAATTTCAGTTTGAATTCATTTCTTTGCATTTTCGGTTTACCTTTTTGGGAAATGCCCATATGTATATTCAAGCCGAGTAAATCCTACCAGAATAATAAGATGTTAATAGCAGATTTTCACATTTGAAAATTGTATGCAAAAAAATTTAACTCCACCTCAAAATTTTGCACCCCTCGAATTTGGCGCCCAGGTCGACAGTTGTCCTTATTTTTTAAAATTTGCTGTACCTAAACTTTATTGACTGACTGTATGTTTCAAGTCAGTTTGTTCTCAAAATAAATTGTATTATAAATATATTTTTTTTTTATAAAATTTTGAGTTTTGGACTTTTGGAATACCAACATTTGGGCCTTATCCCGAAAGTCAGGTCTGCGTTACCGGATAAACCCAGGTCTACACCCGGTGTCTCATTTTGACAAGTTTGAACAATTTATTTTTCTTTTATATAATTGTAGTTCTTGTTTTTATAAAAATGTGGTTATTAATGGCATTATTAAAAAAAAACGAGCTTTCGTCGGAATTTCAAGCTTGCAGTTTTGTAGCGCATTTAATTACAAGTACAACAAAGTGCAAGTTTGAAGCAGCTAGGACTTACCGTTGATTTGTGGCAATTTTATTTATTTATTTTTTTTTTTTTGTTGAAGCTGAGGAATCAAATTAAAAAGTTTGTAATATTTACGAAAGTTTGTTGAATGTGTTTTAAATATTGCGCAAAACTTGAAAGTTGTATTTGTATTTTTTTGTTAAAGATTAAGCTATATGGGTATTCATCTAAACGCGTAAATGCCTCGTAACCGTTAAACTTCCTAAATAAAATTAAGTCCCTAAAAACTCGGGTAGATGAAAAACTGAGTTAGATGAAATGTTTACCACCCTCGTGTGTATTCCAGAAAAAAGCTACTATGATGCATAGAATCGACAGGATTTCGTAATTTGACTGCGTAGTATTTTTTTTTTATGAATTGCTAGAAGTGAAACTCAAGCATAAGTGATTTTTTACCTAAGCTATATATGTCAGATTTATTCAAGTTGCAAAAATTAAATATTAACCACTTTTTTTCTTTTTCTTTATAGTCCAGTTCCAAATCGGAGGGCTGGGATGCGTTTCGGCATTGTGTGAAACATGAAATGAAGCACTCCGAGTCCAATTAAAACAAAATGCCACTGCGCCAATCAACAGCAGCCGAACAACGAATAAATAAATAATAAAAAAAAAACTTAGCTAGCAACAGCGTCACTATTTAAATCTTTCAAAGTTATTGTTTAACAAAATGTATGCAGGAAAAGGCGGAACGAAGTATGCAGAATTTATCTTGGAAAAACATATATGGAAAGCAATGCATAAATGTATAGAGTATATAAAAAATGTTGTGAAAGAGAAAAAATAACAGCCTGTAGGCGAACCAAAGGTAATTTACGAAATTTTGCTTTAGTATTTTTTTTTTTTGTTTTTGATTGTAAATTATTTTAAGAGAGCGATTTATTGAAAATTATTTATTTTATTGCGAATATTATTTATTTCGTTGTCTATATGTATGTACATAAAAAAAAACCGTTGTTATATTATTAGCGAAATATTTAACAAGGAAAAAATTCGAAACGCAAAGTATTATTTTATGTATGTTAAATAATACGTAAACTTACGTACAAATACATTTAAATAAGTAACAAAAATTGTTTGTCCACTACTTCAATGTTATGTTTGTGAAAATGTTTGTTTTATATTTGTGTTAGCTAATTTTAATTGCCCATCTCGTTTGTTTTTTATACATTTGTTATTTACATGGAAATCGCAGTGCAGGCACTCAGGTCAGCTCAATACCAAACATACTTGTACATTTACGAGCATTCTTTAATAATTAACTACTACAGAAGCATTTATGCAAAATGTATTAGTCTTCTTGTGCTTAAAAAATTGTAAAATAAAACAGGAATAATAATAATAAAACACTTTCGTTTTGTAGTTTTTTTTTTATATACACATCGTTACCATAATATAGAAAGGTCCTAACTTCTTTCGAAATTCAACTGTGTACAGAGGTAAGTACATAGATTACTCACTTGGGGGCCTAATCGAATTTAAAAACATTTGCTACATCAATGAATTGGTTTCAGTGTTTATTAAAGCCCAGGATTTTAAGAAATTGCCAACCTAAGAACTTTAGTTTTTATAAAGTTTTGTAACTGTTCTGCGAAGCCACAAATTTTTGATGGAACATCTCTATATTAAGGTACCGTTGTGTACTAATTGAATCTTTATTGAAAATACACATACAATACAGTTAGGATTTTTGGTTACAATTGTCAGAAATAATTTCTTAATAAACTTACTTAAACTAAATTATATAAAATGTAATAAGAATTTACATGTCAGCTAAAAGTGCAACCTTTATAAATTATACAGAAGAAGGTAATTATATTTGTAGGCTAATTGTTTAAATGTATTATGGTATGTGTTTTCGTTGCAATTTGCTTGTTAATTGCAAGCGTTAAAACAAGGCTAATTATTTTGATAATTCCAAGGATTTTTTTTTTTTCACAAATAATGAATATACGATCGGGCATAAATGAGCGCTATTTGTGCATACGAACATAAAGACATACTTAAAATATTTTACAAAAAAATTAGACTCCTTTTTTGCTTTTCGCTTGCAATCGAAACTAAGCTATTTCTAATACAACTCTTAAGTTTAACAATAAATGTTATCACAGACAAATTACGTGCATTTGACAGACACTTTTTCTGATTTTTAGTTTCAAGCGATGAGTTTTTCAGTCAACAAGCATACTGAATAATTGTCGCTGTTATTCTTAGCGAAGTAGTTAATGCAAATACATATTTAACTAGCTTGGACTTGTAGCGAAGTTATTATAGAAAAAAATCCCTTTTTTTTAATATTAGATAAGTCTAGCCCTTTCTGAGAGATTGGCTTTATCGAGGTTACTTAGCAACGCCAGGGGTTTTGCTTCTCGAAAAACTATAAAAATCATTTTACAGAGTATCTCTTATCCTTTCTTATGCCGTATTTTTCAGTTTTTTTTTCTTTTTTATCTGGGTACTGAATATTTTAGAAAATTTTTATTTACATATTCTTATGAGCACATAGTGCATCGTACAGTTTCATAAGTAAAAACACTATCAGCTGATTGCCAAAAAATGCCTACAGCTGAGATCACCTGTTTTTTGGCATGTGCTCTTGTCTTTTACAATTTCTTTCATTTCTATTACAATTTCTTTTATTTCTATTACAATTTATTCAAAATACACTAACACACTGAAACCAAAAACACCAATACACTAACCAAAAATACACCTACAGCCTGCCAAACACACACCTACAGCCTGCCAGGCAAAACGATAAGAAGAAGAGTTACTTTACTTATGGAACTGTACGATGACATAGTGAGCTCAGATAAAATCAAAAGTTGAACATTTTTTAGCAGTGTTATTTATTAAAGTATTTTTTTTTTTAACTGCCATTGAAACCAACACTTTTGTTGCAACCATCATTTCTAGCTGTAGACTGAAAAAACCGCCGCTTATTAATATACATACATACATATGTATGTATAGATTATATATAATTTTTTTGTATTATATACAAATTTTTATTTTAATAAATTTATTTCGCTATAAAATGCATGAGTTTTTAAATTTCTTTGAATAAAAAACTAAAACATCCCCAGAAATTTTAATACTCAAAGATTATGCACTGGAATTAACAAACATACTTATTTACGAATGTGCATACATACATAGAAATGTACATATGTATGTTGTCATGTTAATGAAGAAGGGCTTTGGCATTTAATTTTCAAATATTTAAAAATATGATTTCAATACAGTCCCAGGCTATGAGGATCGTAAGTTTCATTAAAAATAAAAATAAAAAAATAGATTAAAAGTAACCTAGACCCAAAATAACGTAAGCGACATGTTTTCAATATTTTCTTTTTGATACAGAAATATTCCTAGAGCGTCAGATGCATTTCTGCATAAAAAAGAAATTTTTGGAAAAAATGTCGCTTACATTAATTTGGCGGTTAGGGCTTGATATGTTCCCACAGTATTTCTAATAGTAATTTGCTCTCTCATTCGAAATCCCAATAACATATATCGTCCAAAATCGTTTATGATTATTATTAATATTATGAGGTTTGAGCACTGCGACCTCTAGGGTGGTCTATTGTGCGTGGCCCTTTACCCTATACGTGAAGCAACACATTCACAAAGGATGTTTTCTGGCGTTTCTTCGTCCATCTCACAGAAGCGACAGACGCTCGTGTCTGAAAGCTTCATTTTACTGAGGTGATAACGCAGGGAACAATGTCCCGTGAAGTACCCAGTGAGAGTTCGAAGGTCTTCCCTGCCTAGATTTATGAGCTTTTTTGAAGCTTCTTGTGATGGACAGTCGCGTGCATGCGAAGAAGGCTCTAATCGCCTTGTTTACGGTTGCATCCAAATGTACATTCTAGGTGAGTGTCTTATCCAGCCACACCCCCAGGTATTTTGCTTCATTTGAGAGCCCTATTCTAGTGCCGCCCAGAGTAAATTCTGTCATGGATAACTTTTTCCTCTGGGTAAACGGAACCAGAATAGATTTAGTAGGTTTATGATAAACTCATTGTACGTATTCAAGCCGTTAATGTTTAACAGAATATTTGGTTCTGCGATTTTTTCAGTTTTCGAAAAAAAACACCGGAAAAGAATATAATCAGAATCTTAATTACCAAGAACTCACTCACTATCGAGAGCAATTTGGCTGCCTCTAGATATAAAAAATGTAATTACACTGGTAGAATGAAAACTGTATCGAAACAATGATTTCAAAATCATAAATCATAATCAGAAAAGTGCTTTCTTATCAATAAAAAAAAAAAACCAAATTGAGACTTTCAAAAAATATCAGGGGACATTGATTCAAAAGAGTTTGCGTTATCATACATAGCACGCTACTAGGAAATAGCTGATCTTCCTCATCTAATAAACATCATCATCGTCTTTAACACTAATAACTTATGTATCTTAACGAAATATGCACTTTGCAATTTAAACTAAAGTAATATTTTTCTCTATGCATAAATTTCTTACTCATTCGTCATTGGCCTGTTTACCAGGCAATGTCCATGTGACATTCTTCTCTTTGTTGCCACCATTATTGGCATTCGCATTTGCATTTGCATTGAAGTTTCCATAAATACGATTTGCCGATTTCCCGTAGTTTCGACGAAATTTAAAATTTGCAAACACATCCCGTTTAGTGCCAGCTTCGTCCTCCTCTTCCGCCGCTGCTATCCCTAAATCCAAATTGCGTTGCAAACCAACACCAACAACTTCGGTGGCATCTGGTGTTTTGCGAAAATTATAAATACCTTTGCGCTGCTTCAGTTGTTGCTGCTTTTCAGGTGTACGCGGCGGACGTTTTGGACTAGCGCTGCCATCTTTAGCGCCCGCTGCTACTTGCCTCTGCAAAGGCTTGGGATCGTACTGCAGCGATTGAAAGAGATTGTCGTCCGCATCGAAATACCATGGTCGGCTGAAGTGATAGTCGGCATTGTAATAATGCCCGAAGATTGGCTCCTCGGCACAAATACTAAATGCATGATACGCGTGTGATATTAATTCAGGAAATTTATTAATCCAATAATTTGTGAAATCATGCGGAATACAACCGAGCTTTTGTTGCACCTCGGGCGTGAGTTCGTGGTAATGATGTTTCTGGCGGAGATAAGGTGGGAGAGAAAAAGAGAAATTTGCGTGAGCTTAAATTAAAACTGTTGCCGCCATTCAACTTACCTTATTGCGCAGCGCGCGCAGTAAATCGCGCACACTAGCGCCCATATAGCCACGATATTTGCGCAGATCCTCCGTTATGAGTGGATCGACATGCGCATTCCAGTCGTCGCGCACTATGCAACGACCATTCTTCTCTAGCGACTTTAGCGGCTCTACATGGAATTGCAATTTCTCAACGCGATCGCTGACGTCCTGTAGAAATGCCAATATCTTCTGATTATTCCAAAAGACAGGATGGGCGCTTATGCAGCGCGCCAGTGGACGGCATTGCGCGTCTTTATGTATCATATCTGCGATAAGCTGTTCAGCAAGAATCTGTTGTAATGTAGAGATTATTAGTACAATATACAAAAAATATTTGCAGTCTTTCGCTTTTGTTACTTACGAACTTGCTCGCCTCTTCAGGCATGTTCTCATCATCGTCTGAATCCACCTTTAATTTTGACAAATTGTAGTCGTGCGCCAGTATGTTGTGCTGTCGTTTAAGCGCATCGCCAAACGCATGATGACCACCCGTAAGCACATAGTAGTAGACGCAACCAAGTGAAAAAATATCTACAGCGGTTGTCTGTAATGCAACCACAAGGCAAATATGTAATCATATCTTCTTTGGGCATTAACGCCCCAACTGCCTACTCACCGTACGCAGTCCGCGCATCATTTCGGGCGCAATCCATCCATCTGTACCGGTAACACCGGAACGGCGCGAAAAGCTTGTCTTGCCAAAATTCAACTTTTTGCATAAGCCGAAATCGGATATCATAACACGTACGGTGCCGCTAATATCGGGCAGTGAAAGCAACACGTTTTGAGGTTTGATGTCGCGATGCACTGCAAGCAAAGCAAAAATACAAGCATTAGTAATCAATGTTGTTGTTTTTTTTTCTTCTACATATTCATCTTTACATGTCTGTCTTATACGGCAACTCACCGATATGCAATGAATGCAAGTGACTCAGGCCTGCTGCTGCTTGGCGCAAAACCTCCCAAACGTTGATTTGGGTGCGCAGCTCTTTGCTGCGCTCGCCCTCCGTGTAATCTTGCAACGTAGCGGCGCACAGCTCCACTGCTATGTAACGAAATTGGCGATCCTGTTCGGTGCAGAAATACCGCACCACATTCTCGTGCGCATCGCTTTCGCGCAGTAATGC